ACCCTTCAGTCCCCAAGCTGACGCTCTATCCATTGAGCCAAACCGGTTTTGGCTGGCATTTTAATTTTGATCTGTCTGAGCGTGGGCCTGTTTGGGTTCTTCTTAGTTGGGGTTCTCTGTGCCTCCTAAACTTTTGTGACTTTTTTCTTTACCAGGTTAGGAAAGTTTTCTACCATTATTTTTAAAATACATTCTTTATTCTTTTCTCCCTTTCTGCACGTTTCACATTGTCCCACAGATCCCTTAAGCTGTCCTTCTGTTTTTTAATTATTTTTTCTTTTTGGTTCTATAATTGAGTGATATTTTAAACCCTGTCTTCTAATTCACTGATTCCATCCTCAGCTTCTCCTAATATGCTGTGTATTCCTTCTAATGTGTTATTTATTTGTGTTATATCATTTATCTCAGATTGTTTTTTTTTCATAGTTACTATATCTTTTTTCATACTGTTGAGCATTTTTAACATCATTACTCTGAACTCTGTTTCAGATAAATTTCTTATCTCTGCTTCATTTAGCTCTTCTTCTGGAGAATTCACTAGTTATTTCATTTGGGGGTTGTTTCTTTGTTTCCTCATTTTGGTTGTCTGAGTTTGTAACTATGTTTTAGGTAGGTCCTCTAGACCTCTCAATCTTTAGTGCAGGACAGTGTTAAAGGCTGTTTCTGACTAATTATATCAGGCTAAGACTTAAAGCCTCCAGAGACCACCTCTGTCTACAGACTAATAGGATTCCGACTTGAATTTCCCCAGGCAATTATCCTCAGGTGTGGAGAGAGTTTTTGAAATCAGTATGGCTAAGCACTTTGCCCAGGGTCACATTGCAAGTAAGTGGTAAAGCTTAAATTTGAACTGAGGTCTTTTGACTTCAAAATTCATCCTTGATTCCTAACATTACACTGATTAAAGAGGCCTTCTCCACTATTTGACTAATAGCCAAGGGGTATTCCAGAGGTATCCCAGTGCTCATTGTACCTGAAGGCAACCCATTCTAGCTTTGGGCTGCTTTGACCAGTTTAAAAGCTATTGTTAGTAGTAAGCCAAATTATAAAGGAGCTGAACAAGACACAACTAAGAAGAAAACATTTTGGCTCATTGCTAGAACTTCCTTTATAGTTTGACACCAAATCATTGGATGTTCTGGTTAGTTCTGAACTCATTTCAACACACAGCCAAAACATACACCCTATATTTTGCCAACTCATCTACAAGAAAATTATGGGGAACTTTATCCAACACCTGAATTAAATGAAATCCACTATAGCTATCACATTCTCTGATCTGCCAATCTTGTATGAGAAGGATGTTTATTTTTTAATGGGACAATTTGTCAATGATTCAAAATATGAGTTTCCATTGGCAGACTTTCAGACATCATTTACAGGCTGTCAGCAAGATGATTTTTGGGTACTGGGCTTCCCACTGCCCTTCAAGTGACATCTAAATAGGCAGGGGCCCTCATTTCATTGTTATGAATTACAGCACTATTGTTTGCACCTGGTTTTATTTAGGCTTCCATTTCAGTTTTCTATGCTTTTATTTTTCTTTGACTACATTCTTCCCTTGCACATGTTTTCTCTGTCTGATTCAGACAGAGGAGCAGAGGGGGGAAATTCTGGTCCCCTAAATTTCTACATCTTCCTTCCTTTCTCTCTCTCTCTCTCTCTCTCTCTCTCTCTCTCTCTCTCTCTCTCTCTCTCTCTCTCTCTCTCTCTGTTTTGAGAATCAGTGCATGCAGCCCTTCCCTGGAAATATTCTCTGATTTCCCCAAGCTGAGTCATTACTTCTCTTCCTGTAAGATATAGTAGAAAATGCAAACAGTGTACACCATGAAGTAGATCCCCAGAAAATGTGAGTTCCCTTCTCCCCTTATAACATTCTTTCTGAAATTTTTACTTCCACTGTGTCTTTTTCATTTATATGCTCATAATATAGTGCCTGACAAATAAAAACAGCTCATTAAGTGCTTAAGAGAAATCTCCAAGTGTGGTCCTTGGACAACTTGCATCTGGAGCACTGAGGGGTTCAGGTTAAAATTTAATGTAAGTTATTTGGTCTTGCTCTAAATTTACTGAGTTAGAATTTCTTAAGGGCGATCTGAAAGAATATGCGTTTTTGTTTTTTTGTTTTTGTTTTTTCTGGTTCTGCAGATTTTCCCTTCACACTAAAGTTTGAGAATCATTACAAAATATGGGGGGCAGGGATGAATGTCAATTTTTGGAAAGTGTAGCTAAAACCAATTGAATTATTTTTAATGCCTCTGATCATAGTAGGAACATTTAGTGAAGAAAGAAAAGGGCATTAGTAAAAATTCTCTGGGAAGGTTTTTAAAAACAGGCTTGGAATATTCAAGTAATTATATAAGAGTCATTCTAAAGTCTAATATGACAAGTGGAATTATTGTTAATAAAATTTAATCTTAATTTAGATCAAAATTATGATACTAGAGAGTTTTCATTTTTATAGAACTACTAGGGGCCCAGTGCATGAATTCATGCACCTTGAAAGGAATTGTGGGCTGTGAGCCTATGGTGGGCACAAGGGTGGGTCTTGGCCCATCCTCTCTGCCCCCACCCAGTCCCTCCTGCTATGGCCTCAAGTCCCCTGTCTGCTAGCAGCTCTGCTCTCACCACCACTGCTCCCACACACTGTAAGCGCAGAGTAATTGGGACTGGCACCAGTAGCAGGTAGGAGCAGGGCTGACATCCTCAGTGGGGGCAAGCGGTGGCTGCTGCTCCAATGCCCCTTAGGAATAGGGGGAGGTGGAGAAACCCTGAGGGGCCATTGGGGCTGGCAGCGGGTGCAAGTTGGACTGACGCCAGCAGCAGGTGTGAATGCTAGGAGGGACTGTGGTGCGCAGGAGCAAAGAATTTTCAGTAACCACCAGAGGCTTGCCCCAGTAACAGCAACCTGCATCCCACCTTGATGTAGCTGCTCCACCATCCTGCTGCGGCCAACGCCCACCATGTTCTGTGCTCTGTTGCCTGCTGCCAATGCCCACCATGTTCTGAGTGCACCCCCTGGTGGTCAGCATATGACCAGTTGTTTGGTTGTTCTGCCATTCGGTCTATTTGCATATTAACTTTTATTATATAAAACTAAAGGCATGGTGCACAAAATTTGTGCATGGGAAGGGGGTGTCCCTCAGCCCAGCCTGCACCCTCTCCAACCTGGGACCCCTCAAGGGATATCCAAATGCCCGTTTAGGCCCAATCCTGCAGGGCATTCAGACATCCCTCTCACAACCCAGGACTGCTGGCTCCCAACTGCTCACCTGCTTGCCTTCCTGATTGCCCCTAACCACTTTTGCCTGCCAGCCTGATCACCACACCCCCCCAACCATTCCCCTGACAGCCTGATTGATGCCTAACTGCTCCCCTACCAGCCTGTTTGTCTCTATGTTAAGGTGAACAGATCTTCCTGCTTTTGGTGGGACAGTCCGATTTTTAACAATTTTTCCCACATCCTGTGGCATTTTAAAAAGTCCCAATTTTTGGAAAGAATCTTTCCAATCTTTCCCCAAATTGGGACTTTTTAAAAGTGCCATGGGATGCAGGAAAAATTGTTAAAAATCTGGACTGGCCCACCAAAAATGGGAAGATCTGGTCACCTTACTCTAAGTGCCCTCCTCTGCAGGCCTGGTCACCCATAACTGCCCTCCCCTGCAGGCCTGGTCCCTTCCAACTGCTCTCCCCTGCAGGCTTGATCACCCTCAACTGCCCTTCTTTGCAGGCCTGGTCCCTCCCAAGTTCCCTCCCCTGCTAGCCATCTTGTGGTGGCCATCTTGTGTCCACATGGGGGCAGTCATCTTTGACCACCTGGAGGCAGCTATCTTGTGTGTTGGAATGATGGTCAATTTGCATATTATTCTTTTATTAGATAGGATAGAGGCCTGATGCACAGGTGGGGGCTGGCTAGTTTGCCCTAAAGGGTGTCCCAGATCAGGGTGGGGGTTCCCTTGGGGTTTGGGGTGGCTTGGGTGAGGGGCTTGTGGTGGTTTGCAGGCTGGCCACGACCCTGGTGACCCAAGTGGAGGCTCTGGTATCTGGGCTTTATTTATCTTCTATAACTGAAACTTCGTAACCTTCAGCAGAGGCCAAGGCAGGCCAGGGCTGTGGAAACTTGGCTTCTTCCATTGCCGGGGAAAACTCAAGCCTCCTGCTCTCTCCAGCTCTGTGGCTGCCGCCATGTTTGTTGAGATTTATTTATCTTCTATAATTGAAACTTTGTAGCCTTAAGTGGAGGCCAAGGCAGACCAGGGCAGGCGGAAAGCTTGGCTCCCCATTTGCCAGGGAAACCCAAGCCTCCTGCTCTCTCCATAGCCGCAGCTATGTTGGTAGGGTTAATTTGCCTACTCGCTCCTGGTTGGCTGGTGAGCATGGCTTGTGGGTATAGGGGAGGTATGGTCAATTTGCATATTACTCTTTTATTATATAGGATTGGTATACTTGGTTATATATATATATATATATATATGGACAGTATATTGTAAACTTGAATCACATATTTACTTTAAATGATGAGAGAGTATGTCACAATTGTATTTGTACTTTGACCCTGATTATATATGTGACCTATCTGATGTTTAGTTCTTGATTAGAAATGATAGTTGTACTCATTATCCATGAAAATTTGATCAATTTTTATTGTTTTACGCCATATTTTCCAACACCATGCTATTATTAAATATATTATTTGGAAAAGATTAAGGATGTAAGATATGAGTCAACCAAAGACAGCATAACTTACCTTTCAGGAAGACTTACAAAGTTGGATTTTATGTCCATGTTCTTGGGACCTGGCACTTTCCATTCAAGGTTTGCCTTGACATGATTCTCTTGATTAAGAGCTGAGGTGTGTACGCATCTTGGCACAAATCTATTAAGTATCTACAGGTCTTTATTTCTTCTTCCCTCCTTGTAACTTTAGTCTTTTAAAAAATTAAATTTAGGGTTTTGTTGGTGTCACTGCTGCCTAGCTGGATCACGACCTGCTGAGCACCATGTCCAAAGACCTGAAGATTCTGTGCAGTGACTTCTACCTGGAGATGAGCAAGGACCGGAGCCAGAATTTCAGTGCCGATAACAGAGAGCATGAAAAACTACTGAAGGAAAGCTGCACTCTATATTTGGGGAATATTTCCATGTATACATCTGAGGAGCAAATATTTGAGCTCTTTAGTAGATGTGGTGATGTCAGAAATGTATTTATGGGCTTGGATAAGTTAAAGAGAACACCATGTGGTTTCTGTTTTGTAGAATACTACAACAGAGCTGATGCTGAAAATGCCATACGGTTCCTAAATGGGACCATCTTAGATGACCATATCATCCACGCAGAGTGGGATGTAGGCTTTACAGAGGGCAAACAGTATAAGTGTTGTGAAGACTCCGATGTTGGTAGAGGAGACTTTGTAAAAGCAGCTCAGGCCCACGATTCAAGAGAAACTCCCTAGTGAAAAACTTGCAGCTCTAGCCCCTCCAAAGTTCTTTTAAGGAACATCCCCAGGTGAGCAAATACCTCATCATCTCACACACAAAAAAATTAGTTTATTTTCTCACCAGAAACCCTTTTGATGTATTTTTTCTTAAAAAGTTAATAAATGGAATAAACACAAATATTCTTTTGTTCTTATAATTTTGAATCTGGCTGTCAGATTACTAGTTTGACCATCAGGTTGTCAAAAGTAAAATGTTATTCAGGAGTAAATTAGATATGTAAGATCTGAGTCAACCAAAGCACAAATTCACTTCCAGAAAGACGTCAGTTGGATTTAATGACCATGTTCCAAGGACCGGAAAATGATCATTTTTTAGAGCTTGCATAAAATAAAGGCAAATAAACAGAAATTTTAAAATATTTATCAAAGGAATACAAGCACATTACTTACAAACATAAACAATTTCAGGAGAGTTTGTAATGAAAGCCAAAATCTTCCTGCCCCACCTGTTTCTACCTTAGACTTATTTCCTGGGCAATGACTTTTAATTTTTTAAGCATATTTTTTTCTTCATAGTTTCCTCTAAATTTCTAAATAACATGACTTTCTGTACTATTTATTTTCATTTTAAATATCAAGTACTGACTTCCTACTTTCACAGAGGATTTAGCTCATTTACACCCACATTGGCACATATCTCCTTCGTAAAGTAGTTTACAATACTTTACTTACTATGTCTATTGTTATATAACATAGGTTAGGTTAGGTTAGGTTAGGTTACAATGGCAAATAACCCCCAAAGCCCTAATTGCTTAAAATCACTAAAGTCTGTTCTTCACATTGTCAATCGCCTGGGGGCTCTGCTCCATGCCACGATAATCTTCCTTCTGGGGTCCAGAAAGCATAGCCACTATCATTAGTATAAATAAGTTACTGTGATTCCCTCTCTTCTGTTGGTGATTGGTTTAGGAATCCAGACTTACGCCAATTGGAGGTTGACAATCCCATAAATTCAAGGTGGACAATGGCCAATGGGGACCCAGCAAGACTGAAATGAAGAATTTATGTTTTATCCTTGAAGTAGAGGTTGTCTCCTTCCACTGCATGTTATTAACTATGTATATAGCAATTGCTATAAGCAGCCTTCTTACAACCAGAGAAACCGACCTTAGAATGAATTGGACACTTTAGAATGGAGAGAGAGAGAGAGAGAGAGAGAGAGAGAGAGAGAGAGAGAGAGAGAGGAGACCAAAGAAACTGTGTCTTTCACAGAATTATCTAGTTGCTGAATCAACTAACCTTACAGTACACACTGTGTCTGGATGTCATATTATGCAAGACTAGATGCCCAGCGCATGAAATTTGTGCACAGGTACAGTCTCTAGGTCTGGCCTGCAATCACAGCCATCTCCCCCAACTGCTAGCAGCTAGCCCCATTCCCCTCCACCACCCACCCCCAGTTCCCCTTTGCCATCTTGCACCCAAGGTGGTCCTGGCCCAAGATACACTTCAAGCCTGTATAGGAGGCTGTGATCCGGAGGTGCCTTTGTGTGCAATTTCTTTCAGGTAAGGGATGGGGTGTGGGCCCAATGCTTGAGAGAGTTGCAGGAGGCAGTGGCACTATCAAGGTCATTCTGGTCACGCCTGAATGTTCATTGTGTTCATTCACTGGAGGATTCTACTTGCAGGGTCCTAGGGCACAACAACCCATCCCACAAAGAGGTCCCATTAGATTTCAGGTCACATAACCACTGAGGAGGTTAAGATCAGATGTTTTAAGCAGAGAACACAGAATTCTGAACAGGGTTAGAATTCAACAGCATCAGGAGATAGGTTTCTCAACAACCCACCTAACCAACTCCTGCTACCTTGCTGATGGCTTCTCCCTCCCCCTCAGGGAGCAGTTGGGGAGGAGTGAGGAGCAACTGTCTGCAGCTGTGGGCAGGCCTGTGTCTCCGCTGTGGAAAAGTACCCCGGTTGGCCTGGGGTGGGGGGGGGACTGAGAGGTTGGCTGTTTTCAACTTTCCACCTGCTCACTGGCTCACTGGCCCTGGTGGGGGGAGGGGGGAGCTGTTTGCCATCCTGCAATTGGAGCCTGCAGGAGGGGAAGGGAAGAAGGGACTGAGAGGTTGGCCAACAGGTCCCAGTCAGGCAATCAGGGCCTACGGGCTGGAGGCAGCTCCTGCATTGAGCACCTGCCCCCCTGGTGGTCAGTGCATGCCATAACAACCTGTTTTTCTGCTATTATCTTTTTATCTATACTAATAAAAGAGTAATATGTTAATTAGATCAGGAGACCTTCAGGGGACCTGACAAAACCAGGAGCATGGCTGGCCTGCAAACCACCCACAAACATCCCTCAGCCCCTAACCCAGGCTGGCCACGCCCCCCAGCGGGGACCCTCACCCCATGGGGGTGTGGCCAGCCTGAAAACATTACTCAGCCCCATCCCAGGCTGGCCAGGCTCCCCCACGGGGACCCCTACCCTGATCCGGAAGCGTCTTAAGTACAGACCAGCCAGCTCAAAAGGGTAATATGCTAATTAGCCCAGATGTCCTTCCAGACAAAGCAATGGTGGCAAGGTCAAGGCAGAGGCAGTTAGGGGGATCAGGCTGGCAGGCAGGTGAGTAGTTAGGAGCCAGAAGTCCCAGATTGCAAGAGGGCTGTTCGACTGCTGGTTTAGGCTGGATTGTGAGAGAGATTGGGCCTAAACCAGCACTCAGACATCCTCTGAGGGGTCCCGTATTAGAGAGGATGCAGGCTGAGCTGAGGGACACCACCCCTCCTGTGCACTAATTTTCTGCATCAGGCCTCTAGTCTATAATAATAAAAGCATAATATGCTAATTAGACTAGACAGCCGAACAACCTTCTGGATGTCCATCTGGATGAAGCCACTGCAGCAGGGGCCAAGGCAGAAGTAGTTAGGGATGATGAGGCAGGCAGGCAAGCAGTTAGAGGTGATCAGGCAAACAGGCAGAAGTGGTTAGGGCCCATCAGGCATGCAGGTGAACAGTTAGAGACGATCAGGCAGGCAGGCGCTAGTGATCCCGGATTGTGAGAGGGATGTATGATTGCAGGGATTGGGTCCTGGATTGTGAGAGGGTGCAGGCTGGACTGAGAGACACCTCCCCCATGCACAAATTTCATGCACTGGGCCTCTAGAATAGAATAATACAGTATTTGATATCAGAGTGTTTTTATTTTATTCTTGTGTAAAGGATTTGAGTTGTTCTCTTGTGGGCCCAATCGGGCATCTCTAGTGTCCATGACTTTCCATCTGGAAAGTTAGATGAAATCACCTTTTTATTTCTGACTCCTTCACCTGTTACCTGAAATCTCTGCTCAATAAGAATCTTTCCTAGATAGGGAGGAAAGGGCATGTCAACTTTTATGGAGTGATTATTAGGTGCTAGGCACTTTGCTAGATGCTTTAGAACACAATCTCTGGTGCACTGGTCAATGCTTTTGCCCCAGTGCGTGATTCAGTTGCTTGGACCAGTGTCCCATATACCAAAAATGTTGTAGGTTTGATCCCCCATCAGGGCACATAAGGGAAGCAGATGTTTCTCATATTGACATCTCCCCCCTCAAAATCAATAAAAGCACATCTTCGGATGAGAACTAAAATACTACTACTACTACTACTACTACTACTACTACTACTAATAATAATAATAATAAAACACAGTCCTAACCAATTTTGCTCAGTGGTTAGAGTGTCTGCCTGCCTACTGAAGGATCTCAGGTATAATTCCTAGTCAATGGAATGTACCTGAGTTGCATACTCAGCCCCATTCAGGATGTGTGTGGAAGGCAACCAATTAATCTCTCTCTCTCTCTCTCTCTCTCTCTCTCTCTCTCTCTCTCTCTCTCTCTCCCTTCCACTCTTTTCAATGGCAAAAATATCCTTGGGTGAGGATTAAGCAAAATTAAATACATAAATAAAACACCGTCTCATTTACTCTTTTAAAAATATATTTTTTATTTATTTTAGAGAGAAAGGGAGAGACAGATAGAAACATCAATGATGAGAGTTAATTGATTATGAGCTACCTCCTGCACCCCCCATACTTGGGGTCAAGCTCACAACCCAGGCATGTGCCCTTAACCGGAATCCAACCTGGAATCCTTCAGTCCACAAACCAATGCTCTATCCACTGAGCCAAACCAGCTAGGGCTCATTTACTCTTTTTTTTTAATTTCTTTATTGATTAAGGTATTACATATGTGTAATTATTCCCCCATTACCCTCCACCTCCCATTCATGCCCCCACAACCCCATTATCTGTGTCCATTGATTAGGCTATATACATGCATATAAGTCCTTAGGTTGATCTCTCCCCCTTACCTCCACTGTCCCCTACCTTCCCTGAAGTTTGATGTTCTGATTGATGTTTCTCTGCCTCTGGATCTATTTTTGTTCATAAGTTTATGTTGTTCATTTTATTCCACAAATGAGTGAGATCATGTGATATTTATCTTTCTCTGCCTGGCTTATTTCACTTAGCATAATGCTCTCTAGCTTCATCCATGCTGCTGCAAATGTTAAGAACTCCCTTTTTACCGCAGCGTAGTATTCCATTGTGTAGATGTACCACAGTTTTTTCATCCACTCGTCTGCTGGGCACTTAGGCTGTTTCCAAATCTTAGCTATGGTGAATTGTGCTGCTATGAACATCATATATCCTTTCTGATTGGTGTTTCTGTTTTCTTGGGATATATTCCTAGAAGTGGGATCACTGGGTCAAATGGGAGGTCCAGGAAACTCTATACTGTTCTCCACAGTGGCTGCACCAGTGTGCATTCCCACCAGCAGTGCACAAGGGTTCCTTTTTCTCCGCATCCTCCCAGCACTTGTCATTTGTTGACTTGTGTGTTTGTTTATAATTTCTTTATTAAGGTATCACATATTTGTCCTCATTCCCCCCATTCCCATCCCCCACCTATCCCCACTCATACCCTCACCCCTCTGTTGTCAGAGGGGTTAGGCTCATATGTATGCACACAAGTCCT